TTTAAAAAAAAAAAAAAAAAAAAAAAAAAAAAAGAAACCATGCAAATGATGCATTAAATTGGCTAAATTACAAAAAAAGGGTTAAATGTTAAATAAAAAAAAAAAAAAAAAAAAAGCTGGTTTATAAATAATTAATTGAAATAACAATAAATTATTTTATTTTATTTTTAAGATCAAAGCTATGAACTGTTTTGTAAGCATATTAAAATTTAAAAGAAATCATACAATTGTATATAAATATATTGCATTTTAAAACAATTGAAAAAAGAAAAAAGTTCTTTTTGAATTTAAAGTTAACAATAAAATTTTTATATATTTTTTTTTATTCTTTAAAAATAACGAAAAACAAAAAAATATTTCATTTTATTTTTTGCACGCTATTTTTATTTTAACTGAATCATATGTAATAAATGCATATATATAAGTAAAAGGTTATACTTTTACATTTTTTTTTTTAAGATACACATTTTTGTGCATTCATATTATGTATATATTTTTTTTTTTTTTTTTTTTTTTTTTTTTTTTAAAAGAGAATAAAAAAAAAATATAATTTTATTATTTTATTTTTTTTGTCTATTAAATTATAACAAAAAGAAAGAAGAATAGAAAATGAAATAGAGTATGAGAGTAAAAAGTAATTTACACAAATTTTACCTATTCTTTTTTATGGTGCAAAAAAAAAAAAAAAAAATAATAATTTAAAAAAATTTTAGCATTAAAGAAAAAAAGTGCTACTACGACAAATAATTATAAAATTAATAATATTATTATAATTTTTATTAACAAAATTATCATTAAATTAATTGAACAATAGTAAATAGGAATAACATTACTTAATTTTAATAAGAAAAATATTTAACAAAAATATTGTAACTATTAGGTCAATATTAAAAAATTGTTAAATTTAGAAAAATTCTTGAATTTATTTTTTTTTTTTTTAAATTCAATACATTTTTATCATAGTAATATTGAAAAAATTTTTAGTTATATATTATATACATACAAGTATTTTCTATATTTTTAAAAAAAAAAAAAAAATAATATGCATAATTTTCAATTTGTAGCATTAAAAATTGTTGTATTTTCCCCCTTACATTTAAATTTATTAAATACAACATTTTATTGAAAAATAAAATATTATTATTTTATAATATATATATGTATCTAATTCTAATAATTCATTCTATTTAAATATTACCCTTTTTTTTTTTTTTTTTTTCGAAGCATGCTATATGAATTAAAGTGCTATTAATTTAAAAACTATAAGCTCTATAGAGTTATCTATATTTAGTGTATATATTTCATCATAATAAATATTATTTTTAAATAAATATATTTTTTAAAATAACATTGTCATTATTTATACATAATTTTTTTTTAAGAAAAAAAAAAAAAATTGAAAGATATTTAAAAAGATATCAGGCAATTTATTCTAAAGTATATTAATATTTGCAACAAAGTCATAAAAAATTGTATTATAAAATTTTATTATTATATTTTTTCAAAACATAGAGATACATTATTCTTTTTTTATCTTTCTACATAATTATTTGTTTTTATTTTTAACAAAAAAATGTTATTCAAAACTTATTGAGTTACTTATTATTTTTTTATACTATTAATTAACTTAAATATAATTATTTATGAAATACGTTTATTTATAGCATATTTATGGGAATTTATGGAGATAACTATAAATATTCATTCCTAGAATTTTACTTTAAAGTTTCATAATTATTTTTTTTAAACAAATTTTATATATATTTTCACCTATTTACGATTAAATTCACTTTAAAAGTACTAGTCCTCTTCATTTTTTATTTTAAAAGTTCTGGCTATTTTTATTTGAGTATTTTTCAGTATGTTTCAGCATTTTTAATTTTCGTGTAGTAAGATTTTTATTATTTTCATGTTTTATTGTATTGTTCTTTATGTTATGAAAATAAATTTATTTACTTAAAATTGTTTCATTTTTCTTATCTTTGTGTGCATCATTTTTTAGAAAATTCTTCTGATTATTTTGTTTTATTTTACTACGATAGTCATCTATTAAATTTAGTGGCTTTTTAATAGGGACACTTTTATTTTCTAATTTTAATGTTATTTTTTCTTTTTTTTCATCTTTATTTATTGTTATATATTTATTATTTTTAAAAATTTCTACCTTTTGTTTATTTCCTATATGATGTTTACCTTTGATATTTAATGGTATATTTTCATGATTAATTTCTATTTGTTTTTTTTTGTCATTTTCTACTTTGAATTTTGTCATTTTTCTAGTTTCAGCTTGTATTACTTCATCTTTTTTTTTTGTAGAATCTATAATTTTGTATTTTATTCTTTCATTTATGTTAGCCTTATCACCATTCATGTATTCCTTAATTTTTTCATAGAATATTTTTCTTATTTCTTTTCTTGGTGTTTCTTTGAATATCTCCTTTTCTATGTATTCATTTATTTCTTTATTTTTCTTTTTAGTTTCCTTCTTTGTTTCATACGTTTTCTTATTTTTTTTTTCTTCACTTGAAATTTGTTCTATCTCATTTTCTCTTTCATTAGTTTTAATTGTTAAACGTTCATTTTGATTTTTTATGTTTTTAATTATTCTACTATTCTTTTCATTTCCTCTGTTTACACAAAATTCTGTTTCGCTATTTTCTTTTCCACTGCTTTCGGTTTCGCTATTTTCTTTTCCACTTCTTTCAGTTTCGCTATTTTCTTTTCCACTTCTTTCAGTTTCGCTATTTTCTTTTCCACTGCTTTCAGTTTCGCTATAATCTATTTTACTTTTATTATCTCCAATTATCTCATTTTGACCTTTTTCGTTTTCATCCATAGTTTCATTATTTTCAATATCTGTTTTTGTTTCCACGTTTACATCTATATTCTTTTTTTTATTCTGTAACTTAATATTATTCTTTTGGTTATTTTGTTTATTATTCTCTTCAAAATCTTTTCTTATATATGTTTTTAAATTAAAGTTTTTATCAAATATTTCATAATCATTATATTTGCTTTTAAAATTATTATCAAGTACATCCTTTAATTTTATGTTAGTTAATCTATTTTTTTGATTTAATAAAAAGTTAACATTGTAATTTTCCTTCTTTAAATCAATGGCCTTTTCATAACCATTATTATGAATGAAATATTGTATATATTTTAACTGTAAAATAATTGCAATTTCACAAGGGTTATTTAAGTATGCATTATTGAAAATAATCGGTATATTTAATTTTCTCAACAAACTTTGTAAAATAAAAAAATTATTTCTGATATCTATATTATTTATATTTTTAAATTCTTCTCTAGTAAAATATCCATACCTATAAAATATTAATAAAATTTTTAAACAGTCGGAGAATTCGTTAACAATATGCGGCATTTCATTACATTCTTGTTCATCTTTAAATAATACATAAGAAGCAAATGTTTTGAATACTTTTTTTTGTTTTTTCAAATAGTTAAGATATTTTTCATTTTTATCCTTATGATCTCTAGAAAAACTTATATCGTTTATTTCATTATTATAATAAATTTTATTTTTATTATTTAACACATTAAAAGGGTCATTCATTGTTTCATGGGATAATGGTAACGAAAATTTTTTGAGTGTATGGTTATACCAATTTAATAATGGAATGGAAATTTTTTTTAAATTTTGGAATTCAAACCTGTCAAACAATTGTAAAAGTAACATGTTGACTTTTTTTTTTTTTTTTTCATAAATGTCTATTGATGATACCATAGAGTAATAATATGGATTGTTCATATAAATTATTGATAAAGCCTTTTCTAAATTTTTTATAGCACATTTTTTTTTTATTGCCTTAATAAAAATTCCTCGAATCTCAACTTCAGGATTGTAAACTTTTATTAATCTTAAAATTATTAAGCCATCTTTTATTTCTTCATATAAATTATTTTCATTCAAAATTCTACTGCATATTAAAAGACTATTTAACCAATCAATAACAACAGAAAATGAGTGTATTTTTAAGTACTTTGTTTTATATAGAGTTTCCTTATCTTTAGCATAAGGTGTACATTTTGTAATTTCATTGTAAACCTTTCCTTTATTTTCAAATTTAAGAATCTTCATTAAAATAAAATATAAAAACAACAAATTAATAACAAATTAATCAAAATATATTATTAAGATTTTTAATTTTACAACTTTAAATTACATTTTTTTTTTTTTTAATATTCTAAAAAATTAAATTTTTTTATTGTTCTTCGTTTTATAAATAAAAAAAATTTTATTAAATTGTATATACATATATATATATATATATATATATATGTGTAAACAAAAAAGACAATAGATAAATAATATGAAAAGTTTTTTATTCTCAATAACTTAAAAATACATTTATATATATTTTATTTCAAATAAATTTTAAAGTTTTTTATTCTTATGTAATTTTCAAAATTTTTTAACATTTTTAGAATTTAAAGATAAACTTATTGGTTATTATGAATTAATATTAAAAATATAATTGGACAAAAAAAAAAAAAAAAAAAATAAAAAATAAAAAATAAAATAAAAAATAATTTAGCAAAAAAGTTTATTTAAAAATAAAATAAAAAAAGAATAATAGTAACAAAATTGCAAATATTTTTTGTGCACGAAAAAAAGATGTAACTTTTAAGATTTTTTTATATACTTGAATAAAATTAAAATATATTACATATGAAAAAAATTAAAAAAGTAAATCATGGAAATACGTGTTATTATCATTCTTGTCCTCTTTTGTTTTCAAAGAAAATTTTTCAAGTTTTCTTTTAACCTAATGAAAAAAAAAAAAAAAAAAAACAAAATAAGTATATGTTTTTCTGTTTTAAACTTAGACAAATGTAAAAATATAATAAAAATATTTTTATCTTTATTTTTTTATTATAAATATTTTTACATAAAATAAATTTTCCTTTTTCAATTTTGAATTTTTAGGGTTATGTGCTGATGAAGGGCTATTACATTCACTACTGGAATCTCCTTTTTTATATCTCTTTTTTCTTCTTTTTCTTTTCATTTTTTTTTTTTCCTTTTTTTTCAAATATTCTTTAATTTTTCTATAATGTAATTTATATGCACAGTCCATACAAGCTCTCACATTTACTTTTGTCTATAAATAGGAAATAGGTCAAAATTTAATAAATATTTAATAAAATTCTCAAATAATTTTTTATTATTACTTCTTTTTTTTCCCCTCCTTCAATATATTCAAATAAAAATTCATATGTTTTTAAATCTGTATTATTACATTTTTTAGATGAACAAATTATATGTCCTTTGCCACTTATTATTTCTTCTTCTGTTCTCCATCTCAAACCTATCTATAAATAAATTATAAAAAATAAATTATATATTATGCTATATTTAATTTTTTTAAAAAAAAAAAAAAAAATTTAAATATAAAAAATTATTTATATATTAATAATTTAAAAGGAAATATATTATATTTATTTTAGCTGTTGTAGAATATATATACAATTTTAAATTATGGGAACATAATTCAATATTTAGAAAAAATAATAATATTACAACACTAATTAAAACATATATAAAATAAAAGGTAATGAATAATATTTTCCTTACTTTAGATTCTTTATACTTTGTCAAATCGCATATAACATATTTGTTACATATACTATTATAATAATTTTGTAAAAGAGAGTTTTTTTCTGTTGACTAAAAAATCATAATAAAAGAAGAAAATATAAATAATTTTCATCTAAAATTTAGACATTTTTTTTTTTTTTTTTTTTTTTTGAACTTCATTCATACTACATCATGTATAAAATTATATTTTTTCTTTAAAATATCATAATCGTTTAAATATTGCTCGTTGTCACTTTTATTTTTTTCTTTCTCTAATAAGCGAAGAGACATCATAAGCTTATGCCTTTCAAAGGCATTTAATTCATCAAATATTTTCCTGATATTACAAAAAAAAATATATATATATATTTAAACAAATTTAAATAATCATATAAAAATTTCAAGTTTTATTGTTATTTTAAAAAATATATTTTTTTTATTAACTTTGGAATATTATAGCCACTTAAATTAATATAATTCATAGTTGATAATTTTCTAATTATATATTAAGACAAAAATTGTAAAGATTAATATAATATTTAACATACTAATTTAAAATATACTTATTTTTTAATTATAAAAAAAATAAGAACAGAAAAAATATTAAATATTTTGCAATTTAATAAGAAAAGATTTTATGAGATAAAAATTTTCTCAACATTATTGGAGTTTCATAAAAAGTTAAAATGATAATTTTTTCTTTAAAAAAATTTACAAAAATAATTTTGTATTTTTTTTTTTTTTTTTTTTTTTTTTTAATTGTAATTTTTACTAAATTGTTTTTATCAAATTTTATTGTATTATTTGTGATATACTTTTTCTTTTAAAAATTTTAATAAGAAAAAAAAATATAAAATATTTCAAAAAAGTATTATTATATAGATTTAACATAAATTTAAATAACAAAAAATAAATTAATAAAATTTAAATTAATTGAATTATAAATAAATAGATGAAATAAGCATAAAAAAATTATCTCAGTAATTCATCCTTCTAAGGGATTTGTAGAAGTCTTCCACTTTAATTTCATCTTCTATTTCACTTCCTAAAAATATTTAAAAAATTAAAAATATAAGGATAATTTCTTTAATTAAATCAAGAAATAAATAAAAATACTACTTGAAAAAGAAAAAAATTTTTATCAATTTGAATAAAACATTCATAAATTTTCAAGAAAAATGAAAAAAAAAATATACATATATAAATATATAAATATTCTTATGTAGAAATAAAGTATAATATAAAAAAATTAACATAATAGGATATGGAAAATTTTGTTGTGTATTTTATAAAGCAAATTTTTTTTTTTTTTTTTTTGATATATATTTTCAGATATACAAAGAAAAAAAAAAAATAAATGAGATATAATAAAATTGATTATTTTAATCATATTAATAGGAATTTTCTTAATTTTTTTTTTTATATTTTATCTTATTTTTCTCATACCTTTAACAGTCCTTTGTAAGTGATGGATTAAGGTATCTCTGCATAAGTTAGAGATATATAGAGGAGATAAATCCTTTTTTTTCTTAAAAATATTTTCAGACATAAAAATTTGAAAACTTTTTGAGTATAAGAAATCTGTAGATTTTATATTGTTACTTTTTAAGCATTTTTGAAAAAGTTTATAAATATCCTTATTGTCCCAATATTCAAAATCTTTTGTTTGATAAATGTATTTAATTCTATGGTTCATTAAAAGATTATCATCAATATTATCAATGGATGTTGTAGTAGCTATAATCAAAATTAAACAAGGGTTATTTTTCCATTTTTGTTCGAAATGTATTTTATCAATATTTTCATAAAAACATAATTTTAATCTTCTTGAAAACTTCTCCATTTCAGTAACATTTTCTTTAAAACATATATTTTCTATAGCATCTAATAGAATTATACATGGTTGTAATTTACTTTTCGCATATTCAAAAATTTCATTTAAAAATTTTTCTGATTCCCCCATTATTTTATTAAATATATTTGAACAGTTAATAATAATAGAATTACAATTACATTCCTCAATTATTTTTTTCGATATAAATGTTTTACCAGATCCACTGCTACCATGTATTAATATACCCACACTATCAAAAAAATTAATAGAAGTTGCATTTTTTTTTTTGTCAATATTAAAATTTTCAATAACTTCCTTTTTTAATCTATTTATTAAAACATTTTCACCTATTATTTCGCTAAATCCATATGTTTTTTCTCTTAATTTTTTACAAAGTACTTTAAAATCTTTTTTCTTGTATAATTCAATTTCATGTGTATGAATAAATACATGAGAATCGTTTTGAAAATTTAGAACTTTCGAAAAAAAATGATTATTATTAATGTTTTGAAATAACTTTTTAATAAAATTTTTATCTTTTATGACAATTTTATTTTTTTTTAGTAAACTTATAATTCTTTCCCTATATTCATCTTGAAACAATTTCGTTAAGTTTTCTATATTAAAGCTATTAGTTATTTTAGAAACATCCTTAATTTGATTTTTAGAATAATTTAAATTATTTTTTTTATATAAATGGGTTAATAATTTATATCTATCTTTTTTATGAAGAAAATTGGGAAAAATAAAAACAAAGAAATTGTTCATATAAGAATTAAATAAAGATATAATATTATCATCATTGCTACTATTATTTAAAATATTATTATTATTAGTAGTAGAAGAAATAATAAAAATGTGAGCATTTAAATTCATATTTTTCCATATATAAATATATTTTAAAAATAAAAACATGATGCAATTCTTTTTAAAATATGAAAAATTATTTATATAGTCAAAATTTTTTATTAATAAAAAAGAATAACCACCATTAAATAAATTTAACCCCAATATTTTTTCATTTAATTTTTTTCTTTTTTTTTTCTTTTTTAAAAAATAAAATAACAACTTAAAATTTTTTTTTTTCCACACTAATTGTTTTAATACAGCTATTTTAGTAAAACTAATTAATATGTATTCTAAATTCATATAAAATTTATTGATTTTTTCAATTTCTTTTCTATTTTTTATATTTGTTATAGCATTTTCTTTTAATAGAAGTTCATAATAATATGGGTAAAGAATTTTATTTATATACAATTTATTTTTGTATTCTTTGTATTTTTTATTTTCTGAAAAAATTTTTTTATTGAATTCATTATTTTTTAAATTATATAAATCGAAACTACTAGCACTTTCATTGTCTGAAAAAATAGATAGAATTGTTTTGTTTCTACCATTATCTTTTATACTATTATAATTATCTACATTATTATTTAATTTACTAGATAATGTAGCATATTTGCTATAAGAGTTATTATAATTAGAAAAATTGTTCAATTTATAGATATCATTTAGTTCATTTAAGTTTCCTACATATGTTTCCACACTTGATTTCTTGCAATTTACTTTATTCTGTTCGTTTATATATAAATTATTATAATTTAAATTGTTAGTTTTTTCTAAATTAATTAATTTTAAATATTTATTTTTAATTTTAAAGGAATTATAGATTTTAAATGAGAAATTTGGTTTATTAATACATTTTAGTATATTTTTTTTATTAACTTCATAATATTTATTATTCATTTGATGAAGCACCTCATTATTTTTTACGATTTTTTTGCAATTTGAAAAACTTAGTGATTCTATATATTTGTAGTCACATACTATTGGATATTTTTCATATTCAATTATATCAATAATAAAAATATCATCATTATGATATTTAAATGGAAATGAAAGAAATAAATCTTTTATAAAATCTTTTTTTTTATTACCAGACTTTCCTATAAGGAAATATAAATTTGTATTAAAATGATTAACCAAATTTTTAGAAAAAAAAAAATTAAACAATTCAACATCAAAAATTATGGAATTTTTTATGATCATATAATTAATTATTTTTTTAGCCAATTTTTTATTAATTGATCCATTTCTTTTCAAAAAGCTATCTAACCATAATTTGAAAATTTTTTTATAATATTTCCTTCTTATAAAAACATTAAACATATATTTAAATATATCCTTTTTTTTGCTACCCGCTCTTATCTTTAATTTTATATTTTTTAATTTGTTATTCTCTATAAATTCACCATTTAATTTATTTTCTTTTATAAAAATACTTTTAAAATTTTTTTCTTCAATAAAATCTTCTTTTAAATTATTTTCTCTTATATTAACATTTCTTAAATTATTATCTTTTTTAGATTCATTTTTAAAATTATTTTCTTTTGTATAACTTCTGGAAATTCTCTTTTTTATAAAATTATTTTCTGAATAATTCTCTTCTATAATATCATTCTTTTTGTTACTGTCTTTTATAGATTCATTTTTTGAGTTGTTTTCTTTAATAAAACTCTTTTTTGAATTATTTTCGTATTTACTTTTAAATGTCAAGATTTTGTCTATGAATATTTTGGGTTTAAAATTATTTTTGTCTCTTCTACTATTTAGAATAGCATATTTTGTATATTTTTCATCATTTAAAAATTTTTTGTTATAAATATGGAAATTTTTATTTTTATAGATTAATGTATTGTTTTTTTGCTCACATTTTTCTTTATTTTGTATATTCCATTCCTCTAGGTTATTTAATACATATTGCAAACTTTCGTTATATGATAAATTTTTTATCCATTTATATTTTAAAATTTTTTTATTAACTAATTTTTCGTATTCATTTTTAAACAAATTTTTAGAAGGGTTACGACTTTTTTGAAAATAAGAGAAGGATTTATTTGAATTACAGTAAACGCACAAATTTTCAATTAATTCATCATTTTTCATTTTAAATTATTTCTACAGTTTTTTTTCATTATTATAATTTCTATTAATATTCTACAAATAAGAAAGAAAAAGAAAATTCCCATATAAATAAATAGTAGAAAAAATTTTATATAAAAATTTTTAAGAATACATATTTTCCTAAAAAAATATTGTATACATATTTATTTTTTTTTATAGTTAAATTAGAGTAAATCAAAAAAAAAAAAAAAAAAAAAAAATTCATATATATATTTTTAAAATTTATGAATTGTTCAATTCNGAAAAAAAAAAAAAAAAAAAAAAAAAATTTAATAAAATATATTTTTAATAGGCAAAAAAAAAAAAAAAAAAGATTACAAGTTATTTATACTTATAAAAATGATATGAAAAAAAGAAAAAAGGTAAAAATAATTTTAAAGAAATAAAAATGGAAATATATAAAAACATAAAAGAAATAAGAGATAGCATAAAACAAATAAAATTTGAGTGCCAAAAACTAAAAAAGGATATTAAAAAAAAAGAAGAAGATAGTAAATTATTTAAAATATCTACAGTTGTATTAAAAAAATATAATTTTTATTTGTACAATAATTTAATTAATATTTCAAATAATCATTTTGATAATATTTTTATGTATAGTTGTGGAATACTTTTCACTAGTACAATTTTTGAGGATGTTAATAAAAAATACAGTAGTTTAATCAATAGTAATTTTTCTAATCTTACTCGACATGAGCAGAGTAATAAAATAAATGAATATAATACATCATTGGTAAATATTAAAAATGAAAAAATGTTATTTCAAATAAACAATAATTTAGAAAAGAAGAAACGAAAGAAATACAAAGAGAATAACAAAACATCTTCTAAAAAAAAAAAAGTTTATAATAAGAATAGCATCAATTACAGTCTCAGATTAAACAATTATGAAAAATCTATAGAAAGTGTAAAGAGTGAGGATATGAAATCAGAAGGAAAAAATACGTCTTTTAATATAAAAGAAAAAAATAATTCAGTTTATAAGTGTAAGTTTAATGAGGAAGAAAAAGAAGAAGAATCTGACAATGAATCAGATAAAATTGTGAACAATTTAAAAGAAAAAATGTATAAAAAAAATTATGAAGATATAAGAAATAAAAAAAAAAAAAAAAAAAAAAAAACTCTTATTCAAAAATTAAATGGTAATTTTTATGATGATAAAGAAAAAAAATCTTATAATAATTTTAGTTTTGGCAAAACATATAATAAAAAAGAAGAAATAGAATTAAATTTAGACAGTATAAATAATAATAGTGATATAACTGACATTATTGTACCAAATAAAGATAATTTTTTAAATTTTAATAAAAATTACTCATATAATTTTTCACAAATGAATAATACTTACGGTGAAAAACAAATAACAGATGATAAGGATTATAAAATGAAATTCTCTTCAAATGAATCGTCAAAACATAAAAGCTTTTATTCTGGTTTGTACAGAAACAAGAGTTTCTACGAGAAAAAAAAAATAAATAATAAAAGTTACATTGATTTATATGTGGATATAATAAAAAATGGTAAAGTTTTTTCATTTTTTGAAAACAAAAAGAAGGAAAAAAATACATTTGAGAAATTTGTGAATCAAATAAAAAATATATTTTTTATTAATGAAAATAAAGATAACCAACTAAAAAACATAGAGAAAAAAAAAGATGAGTTTAATATACTGAAATACCAATGCTTAATTAAATCAAGAAAAATGAAAATTTATTTATGCGTATGTCCGAATTGTTCAAAAAATTTTTACCTGTTAATAAAAAAAAGCTCAAATAAAAAATTAATTTCAAAAGTTTTTCATCCCTCTCATTTTTCTTCTCTAGTTAATGATTTAAGAAAACAAAAAACAAATATTTTTAATGAACAAAATAAAAAAAAATCTGAAAGTTTTTGCTTGGATATTAATTCAGTGGAGTATTTTTATGAAGAAAAATGTTTTAATGAAAATAATTTTGATTTTTGCAATTGTTACTCTAAAATAGAAAAAACGAATAACTTTTTTGATAATTTAGATATACTACTTTATATATAAGAAATAATTTTTTTTTTTAATAAAGAATTAAGCTTAATTTTTGTTTGTATATAAATATATATAATAGTTTTTTTTTAATATTCTCATATATATAATATTAAATAATATTATATGCTTTTTTTTTTTTTTTTTTTTTTTTTTTTGGTTTCCATAATTTCCATTATTATCTTATGCACACATATATTTATATATATATAGGTATATAGTTTTATATATATTTGTTACCTTTTTTTTTAATTATTAAAAAAAAAAAAAATTCTGACATATACATAATTTATTAGTAATATTTTTTATGTTTAATAATTTTAAAATATAGAAAAAAGAAAAAAAATATATTTTGCATATGCACATATATATAATCTTACCTTTAACATAAGGTAACTAGTTTTCTCATAATTTTTTTTTTAAATTTTAAATTCTTATTTTATATATATATATATATATATATTTTTTTTTTTTTTTTTGTTTCTTCTTTTGCTTAAATATTTATAATGACAAATAATACATTTTATTTTTTTCTTTATTATTTTCATTAATACATAAAATTACAAATTTGGTAAAATGATTCTTTCTGTAAATTTTTTTTTTATTATTTCTTAGTTTTTTTCTTATTTTATTAATACATTCTAAAGAATTATTCTGTTCAAAATTTGTTGAAAATTAAAATAATAAATTCTCTTTTTCTTTTTTCTTATTTTTATATATATATTTTTAAATTTATAAGTATAATTATTTATATGAAAAACTTAAAAAAATTCGAAATTTTTTGAGTATAAATGGAAAAGTGTAAAATAAAGTTATTTTTAATATCTGTATTCGTCTGGTAATTTTAAAGCATTTTTTATAAAATTTTTAAATCAGTATTAATAAAAATTATTTATATAAAATAAAAAAAAAAAAAAAAAAACTATTAACTACTTTCTACTAATGAAATAGGAAAAATTAATTTTTTTTTGTTTTAACTTTTTTCTTTTAAATTAATACAAAAAATCTAATATTAAAAGATACTGTTTCATAATTTTTTTTAGTTTTTTAGTTACAATTACATTTTATAAAAGATATAGATATGATTTTTATAGAAATTATGATGAGCAAAAACTGTTACTATATTCAGAAGTATAAAAACAATATATATAAGTTCAATAAAATTATATATTGTCTTGAAAAAAAATTTTTTTAAATAGGAAGCTTTTTATTTTTCTTTTTACAATGATATAATAAAAGCTAATACTTATAAAGAAGGACTAAATTTATTAATGTATAAAAAAAAAAAAAAAATAATATTAATGGAAAACTGATAATAGTTACTACAAAAATTCTTTATATTACCATTATATTAAGATAAAAATATATGTAACAAAATATTGTATGCATTTAAATTATGTAATTCATCTTATAGTAACGATACCAGGAGTGAATATCCTGATACGATAAATGCAATTAAGCGCTTTAACATTTATCCAGGTAATTAAAAAAAAAAAAAAAATTTTTAAAATTAAAATAATTATTATTTTTTTTTTTTGAATATGTAGAAATTATACTTGGAACCATATGGAGAGTGTTAAATTTAAAATCATTTTTTATAACACCTTTTAATTTTTATTCATATGCTGGTAAATGAATATATTTTTTAAATTGGAAATAAGTAACATATATATATATACATATATATATGTATAATAAATGATATAATTTGTCTTAATCTTTATTAATATAAATAATTATTTTTTATTTTAGCGATTCTATCACAGGCTACTAGTGTCAGTATATTATTTTTTTTTTCAGTCTATATAGGTTAATATTGAAAGGAAAAATCTTATTTTTGTTGAAAATTATTTTTTGGAGTTTTTTTTTTTTTTTTTTTAAATATTATTATTAATATTTTTATTTTAGGAAAGTCATATTTTAGTGGGATAATATTTTTAATGCTTTTTTTCTCTTGTTTTCGTGAAAAATTTATAATAAGGCTCTCAGGTAATGCATAAAATATATTTTTTTTTCCTTTATAATTAAAGTTAATAAAAAATATGTAAATTTCTATATTTTATAGTTATGAAATTTCTAATTATTCTTTTCTTATTTATTTTTTTTTTTTTTTCGTAAGCTTTTCCTTTGAGAGAAAATTTTGCATCTGTTTATATGTGGTGTAATATTTTGCTTTTATATATAATTCTTAAGGAAAAACAGGTAGTATATTTTAAAGAAATGTATACAGAATTTAATAAAAAACTATTAAATTATTCTATATTAATTGAGAAAAAAAAAAATAAATAAATAAAATGGATAAAAAAAATGAAATGAAAAATATATACATAATAGAATATAAAATGTCTAAATATAAATTTATATATGTAATAGAATAATATTAACTGAATTGTTTTTGTGAAGGCAATTAAGAAATTTATATAATTTATATATATATGTATATTTTTTTTTTATTTAGAATTCATTTTTTGAATACCTATGTTTATTTTTCTCATCCTTTTTTTTTTTTATTTTTTGGCAATTTTCTGCTTTTGCCTCGTTAACTCATATAATTGCTTTATTTATAGTTGAATTATTAGGATATAAAATATCAAAAAAGTTAAATTACATTTTGATAACGTTTTTTTCTTCCTATATTTTATCAATAATAGTAACTTTTTTTCCACGATATTTATTATATACATATTTTCCCTTTGTTCTCATTGCCATTATTATTACAAATAACCTATTTTATTATTTATATGAAAAAAGAAAAGTGAAATCTGAGGAAAATTATGAAAATAAATTAGAACATCTGAATAAAGATAAATATAAGGATTCTATTATAGATAAAGAAATAAGAAAAAGAAAAAATTGTAGGAGTGATGAAGAAGTAAAATATGTAGAAAATAACATAAATGAAAAAAGTGATACAGATAATTTAATAAAAGAAAGATATAATTTACTACAAAAAGTTAAGGTTATGTTAAGAAAAGGATTAACATCTTTATTTATATTTTTTATTTTAAGGTTGCTAGTAATTCATCAAGAAAAAGATGATTCACATGTATTATCATTATTAAAAGTTCGTTTAAATCTAGCTAATCATAATTTTGATAGTATGATATACAGTTTAAGTTCTGAATTTAATCCTTTCGCGCCTTTTATGTTTAAAATGTTAAAGGATTCTGCTTTATATGATTATATAGTTATATTTAGTATTATTGTTTTACTTTATAACATAAATTATTTTGTATATATATATAAAGGAGGAAAAAAAAAATTAAATTATGAAATATTAGAATCTCAATTTATCTTTTTTTTAATTCAACTTTTATTTTACCTTCTATTAATGACAATAATATCTAGACTTCGTGTTTTAGGTTTGCCTTTATTGTGCATATTTGGTAGTTTAATAGGATCCCCATATATTTTAAATGGCCTTTATTCTCTTACAAAAATGAATTTTACCCATTCAAAGTAAAATAATAATATCATTAAATAAAAAGTATATTAAAATTTTTTTTTTTATAATACGTTAATGCTTTTTCGTAATATATATTTATATGAAGATATTTTATTTTACTTTATTAATATATGATAGCTTATATTTTTGTAGCAATATATTATTTCTTAATTCATTTTCTAGCTATTATCAATTTATTTTATTATATTTATCAGGTCAAGCAAAGTTTTATTACCAAAAATTATTATTTATACCTTTTGTCTTTTCGGATGTTTTTATCCTTTTATAAAATATTTCCCCAAAAATGAATATTTAAGAATATTAGAATATGAACCATTAAATTTATATAAAAATATGGATTTAATTAATTGGCTGAAAAAAAATATTAAAGAAAATGAACCATTAATGGCAGATATACCTACATCTAGTTTTTTGAGATTAAGTACAAATTTTAAATTAATATTGCATCCACAATATGAAGATATTAGTTTACGTAAAAGAGTCCAAGATTTTTATATGTTGTCAGCTTGTCTCCCATTTAGTGATGCAAAAAAATTTTTTTATGAAAAATACAAAATTAGATATTTTATTAGTAATATTTATAGATGTGCAACTTCAGGAGGTAATATCAATATTTTTTCTATTTCTGATAAAGTTGATTCTAATTATGCTAGATGTCATAATAAAAATAGTATGAGATTTTGTAGTCGCATAATGTATGATAATAAAAATTATAAAACACTTTTTCGTAACGGAAAATACAGTGTTATTTATTTTACCCCTAAAATAATAGAAGATAATTCTCCTTATGAAATTTTTAATCAATTAAAATATTCAGATATGAAGTATTATGAACCATGGATAAATGAATGTAAAAGAACCGATGAAAAATGTGGAATTCACATAGCTGAAGTTGCAAGATATACTCTAGATTTGCTAGGATATCATGCAATATCTTCAACTTTGTATAAATATGTTGAAGATAATTTTCTTGATACAAATATTGATATAATTTATCATTTAGGAGAATATTATGATTATGATTTGAAGGATACAAAAAAAGCAAATGAATTATATAGAAGAGCTATTGACCTTATAATAAAAGATAAAGATGATTTAAGTAGTTATATAACTGGTCAAGTTCCATTTGTTTCTCTACCTAGAAAGATATATATTATATCATCGTACATTTACTTTTTAGCAGAATCTAAATTAAATAAAAATAAAAAGGAAATATTTTTATTATATAAAAATATGAATGATTTTGTGGAAGCTGTTTTATTTGCATTGGATAATGGTTATTACTATGAAAAATTAAAATCTGATGTATCAAATGAACAAGAACATATAGTTAAAAGATATTTATATGAAAAGGATTTGGATTCTCTTGTAGAATTTTTGTGTCAGAATTCAACATACATATACCAAATTAGAAATGAGAATCCCCAATATGTGCATATATATAAAAACTTTTGGAATCTAATAAAAAGAATATCATATCTAAACAAATGTGTAATTCAAAGTTTCCATATATTTGAGAAAAGACAAATAAATTTTTTAGATTATTTAAAATTTTTTTATGTTTATCGATAAAAAAAAACAAAACAAAACAATATATGTTTTACTGTTAATAATCAAATATATATATAGTAATTTTTACTAGAAAAAAAAAATTGTACAATAACATCTGTATGTTATTGTACAATTTTTATTTTAATAAAAATATAAGGAATAACATTCCAACAATTATAACTGCTATGACAATCCATACACCTAAAATAAAATAAAATAATAATAATTTTTTTTTTTTTTTTTTGTTTTAGTTAAACAATTATATTCTTTCTTTAAAAAAATAAAAGATATATTTTTTTTTTTTTACACTAAATATATATTAATTTCATTCATTCAATATATATATATGTATGTGTATACCTGTCCATTTTAAACCATACATAATAGATGCTGTTGCAGCCCCAAACTTTTCATTAATAGTAACCCAATCTACATACGTTCTATTTTCAGTTACTGGTGGTAAATAAGGATCTTTATTTGGTTCATCTCTTCCATTACCAACAGGAGCAATCTCTGCTTCTGATTTTGTTAAAATAAATCCCTCTATTTCAACATTTCCTCTTATCTTATTTTTGTGAGCTGGATGTCTACAAGATAGCCAAAATCTAAAAAAAAAAAAAATTATTTTTAGAATAAAATAAATGGTCAATAATATATATATATATATTATATATGTAAATTATTTCATACCGAGGAATATGGTAGAAACCTTTTTTTTTTCTTGCTCTATAAAAGTGTGCAGATAAATCTAATGTTGCTTCTCCAATTGGTTCATTAGAAGATAAGAGTGCATAGTTATGAATTTGTACTTTAATATTTGTGGCGTTTGTTGGAATTTTTATATTATAAACGAATCTCCAATTAAATGTTCCTTTTCCATCTTTACTATTATAATGAGTATCTGTATCTCTGCTATCTTCAGTGTCATCATCAGTATATATGCAACGCACAAATAAACTAATAGTAGAATTATTATCCATTGCTGCATTGCTAACTTTCCATATAATAAGTCTTAATTGATAATCATCAGGTTCATTGGAACATAATATCTTAACTGGGTTTAGTTGGGAAAATTCTTCAGTGAATATTTCAAACCAGCATCTTAAGGATCCATGAGAAATTGTACTATTTTCTAACTTTAAGGACCTTAATTCTATAGGCATAGCATCATCAATCATTAATTGCCTTATTTTTTGATTAAAATATCTATCTTCCATATCAATATATGTATAACCTATAATTTCATCAGATAAGGATCCTTGATTCATGATGCAAACTTGCACAATAGATTCATCTGGAAACGAGCATAATAATTGGTAACATCTGTTAAATTCTGGTTTATATCCTTGCTTTTTTGTATGCCCGATATCTTTAATATTATGAGATAATCCACCAGGTATATTGGTTATTTCATTACTGTTTTTAATCCATATATATGTAGTTATATCGGTAGCACCCGATGGAGGATTTAGACCTCTGGCTTGAATAATATATGCTCTAACTACTAAATTTCTTGTTAATCTATATTCACTTACTAAATCATCACATTTTTTTATCATTTCTTTTTTTAAATGCATTGTTTTCTCATCATAAACATTACATATATATTTTAAATACCCAACAGCTTCTGGTATCCCCGAATCTGTGCATCTAAAAATGGTTGCTCTTAAATATGGTAAATCATCAGCATTCATATCTACTTCATATTCATACAGCATTTCGTCTCTTTGTATTTCTTCTTGTTCATCTTCATCAGCTAATGATAATTGAAAATTTAGCATTTCTTCGTTAAATCCATATATGGTTCTGTGTTGTTTACTTACGTTTTTTGTTTTATCGTCATGTTTTCCTTTAAAAAAATTAATATCTCTTAATTTTGTTTTTTTATCACCTGTATTATTTTCATATATTGTTTCTTGTTCTTCAATATTTGTGCAGATATCATCTGTATATTCATTTGTTTTGAAACGTACATGCTCTAAGGTTTCCTCGATACGTACATTTGCAAAATCTGGATCATTATATGGTACATATTCATTATTTGTAGATTTCTTCCAATTTTTTTTTCTTTTTTTTCTAAGATCATTTATATTATATTTATTTTCATTTTTTTCATTTTTATTTTTATTAGATTTTTTCTTTCCAGTATTGTCTCTTTCGTTGGTATTAGCTTCATTATCATTTTTTTCTTCTTCTTCCTCTTCATCGTCTTCAGGATATTCTAGATTTTTTTCTAAAATATTCAATGATAAATCATTATATTCATAAATACCTTCTTCTGTACCTTGTACTTCAAAATTTTCATTGGACAGTTTTCTTGATAAAATTGAACTCTTTTTATATATTAATGCACTGTTATAAGATTTCCTTGCTTTTTCTGCATCTTCTATTAAGACTTCTTCAAGTAGGTGTAACTTGAATAATTCAATACATTCATTTTTTTCATATTGATCGAGCCATGGGAGTAAAGGATTTAAAGTAATATAAGCAGTTCCAATTAAGAGATTATTATTTGTTGCGTTAGCAGTATGAGTGTTATTAGTACCTGCTCCAGTAAATCCACTATTTAATACTCTATCTTCAACTCTAACCTCCAAAAAACTATGATGTTGCATTCTTTTAGGTAATGCAACATCTAAAGAAAAATATTTTAAAAAATTCCAATTTCCTTCCTTTCCTGATATTACCTTATTAGTAGTTTCATGCCAAAGAAATTGAGAGGTATCGTCTACATCTCTACCGAAACATACAGTTACAGATGGATCTTTTAACGGTTTAAACATTCTTATACCAATTAAAAATAAGGACACATGACCAGGCAAGGTGGATGGTCTAATATCATCGTAAAATGGATATGTATCATCAAGAACTTTTTTCATTGGTACCAATTCAAAAGCAACAAGTAGTTTCGCTTTGCATTTCTTATATTGAGAAGATTTTAAATTAATCCAAATTGGAGATTTCTTCCATTCTACAGGAACTTTCATAATAGGATATGTGCAGGAACCTAGTAAAATATCATCATTATATAAAAAAGATTTATTAACAGAAAATGCTTCTATGGATATATCAGGTGCTAAATTTAAGTTGGTAGGTAAAATAACTTCCACCTCATAAGCTTCATAATAATTGGGATTAAGAGTATGTAAAATAGTACTCGTTTTAATTGTTTGTCCAGCTAATTCTACTTTAATATAGGGATCTGGAAAAGCATCATATCCTTTTGCAGGAAAATGTAATCCTTCGTAAATTAAGGCACGAAAAAAATAACGTGATAGTTTATATTCTAATCTTTGAGGTCTTTTTTTATAAGATTGAAATGGTATTAAATTTGCAAAAAAAGATATGTTATATTCATGTGCATTAGTCTCTATATTTTTCATCAAAAACCACTTGGGCTTATTTTCATTATGTAATAAATACTTATATGGTATACGAACATAACTTTTTAATTTATAATTGTTTAAAAGTTCCACATCATTAAACACATCTTCAACTCCTTTATTTATAGAACTCATTTTATCTAACCCCTGAATTTTATTTATATCCGCAGGATCGTAATCATTACTCATAACACTATTGTAAATATTCCTTCTATTAGTAATCCAGTCGGTAACAGCTAAATTTGATTTAACATAAATATATAAAAAAATATCGTAGATTTGTTCATTATTATTTTGTGGTAAGAATATTCTAAATTCATCAATTCTCCCTGCATTTTCATTTAACACATAAGAACCTACTTCATTGGGTAATAGAGGGGGAGTCTTTAATTTATGCGGCCCCAAACCACATACACAAATGATACTATCTCCGTTAGTATCATAATTGTTATTATAGCTAACTTTTTCATTAATATTATCATAATTGACTGCTTTATTATTACGAACTGATAATATTTCATAAATATCGGCGCAAAAAATATATTCTTTATTGGGTGGATCTGGTTCTACTTTGGCTGATTTAATACATATGGGACCAGGTGCATGAGTTTTCGTAGCATTAACACTTAAGAAAATTCTACCTCCATATAAATAAGATTCTCTTAAACTATCATCCGTGAACATATTTTGCACTTTTGTAACCCCTAATATATCATTGATATTAATACCTTGAGTGGCATTTTTAAAAAACTTTTCAGCTGTTGCTGTGAAAAGATAGTTTCCAAAGGTATTAGTAGAATTGGTTGTATTGGGGTTTGTAGTTATGCCAACATTTTGTGTGTGTACACTACTTCTTGCAATTATTTGATTTTGTGGGTTATAATAAATATTAAACCACCTTGGTAATAATTCTCTTTTTAATATTTCAAAAAAATCAAGAAGTATACTAAAAATAACTACTCCATTATGCTCTCCGTTAATAAGTTCAATAATAATATTTTTGTCATAACATGGGGTACAAGTTGGTAAATGCACACTTAAATTCCATACAGGATTGGGATCATTTCTTATAACTTTAGTACATTCTTCAAATCCATTATGAGAGACTTTTACATATGGTTCTAAAACATTTGAAAATAAGGAACTATTACTCATTAATTCAATATCTTGCCCCCTGAAAATATTGATACATAAATCATAATGAGTAATATGAATATCTAAACCCTTATTTGCACATATTTCATCATTTATATTTGTTTTTATACTGTCATTAACAATTGGTATGGAATCACCTGGACCATATACTCCTACAGATATTAATAAAAACCCTACATCATCTAATGGTAAATCTGGGTTTCTTAATTTAACCCATATTCTATATAGCCAATGTTGAATTTTTGAATATACATAATTTAAACTAAAAGAACATTTACCTATTAATGCACTTTGAATTGTGTATTTATGTAATACACATACATCTACACTTGTTCTTTGAAAATGATAATCTGTTAAATCCATAGAAAAATTAAATGAGGTGTTATAAACAACATTTACTGCTTGATTTTTTTTTGGAGTACTTTTCTTTTCATCATTTACAGTTACTTCAACATATGGGTTAGGTATTATTTCTTTTTCATTTGCACTTTCACGAAAACTTAAATCTTTTACTTCATGGATGTCAACTTTTATATTATACTGAGTTTTTTTAGCTATGTGCATTTTTTTATTTCATGTTAATATATTTTTTTTATCATATAAAAATAAAGGAACTTACATACACATAGTTAATTTTATAATAAAGCTAAAAGGACATTTTAAATTATATTAAGAGTCAATTATGTATTAATTTTTCAGATTTTGCTATTTTATTTTTTTTATATAAAAATATAAACGAATTTATTTTTAAAACTTTGTTTTTATTTAATTTTTTTTTTTTTCTATAAAATTTTATAATAATGATATTATGTGAAGAAATTTATCAAATGTCTTCTAAAGCATATATTTTTATGTAATTAAAGAAGTTATCCTTTATTTTAAAGAAAAATTTTTTTTATATATATATTAATGGTTAAAAAATAAGTAAATATAGACAAGGCACAATATACTCATAAAAATATCTGAAAAATGAAAAAAAAAAAAAAAGAAAATGAAATTGTAAAAAAAAAAATTAACATTGGAAATCATTTAAAGAATATTTTGATTAAAATAATTTTGAAATTTTACAACTTTATTTTTACATGCAGTAGACTTGTAGATTTAATAATAAAAAATAAACATCTATATATATATTATATATGTATGTATATAAAATAAATGTAGAATAAAATATCAAAATTATTCTAAAAAACAATACAATAAAACTATGTAAAAATATACATTAAAATCAGTTCATTTTTTATTCTTTTATAAATATAATAAAATAAACAAAGAAAAGAAAATTTTCAAGTATTTTAAATATAAGATAGTTGGTCTTTATTATCTTTTAGAAGTATTTTTTCATGATATTAAGACAAAATATATAAATTTATTTTACATCAAAAACAAAAAGATATACAGCTATGTGAGTTATAGAAAATTTGGTTTAAAATAAAAGGAAAAAATATTAAGGGGTTAATTATTGCATTTGTTATTAGGAATTAATGAGTAGTTGATACAAAAAAAAAAAAAAATTTAAATATATTACCCAAAAAAGTGTTACATTAATATTATTCAAAATATTATTTATTTCAATAATTTTTTGTTTTTTTTAAGTAATAAATTTTCAAATTACATGTAAAATATTTATTTAAATTTTTTTTTTTATTAGAAAAAAGATGCACACTTTTTTTTTTTTTTTTTTTTTTTTTTTTTTAAAAAAAAAAANATTTAATAAATTTGTAACATAATTTGAAATAGAAATAATTCTACTTATTTTTAGACACATAAAATAGTTTTTTTTTTTTTTTTTTTTTCTTGTTATAATAACTTTGTGAATTTTGTTTTTTGAAATACAAAAAAAAAAAAAAAAAAAAAAAAAAAAACTATTTTATGTGTCTAAAAATAAGTAGAATTATTTCTATTTCAAATTATGTTACAAATTTATTAAATAATAGAAATAAAATACATTGTCTTAAATTTATATATTAATTTTTTTCAGTTTATTAATATTTTGAATTAAAAGAGAAAAAAAAAAAATAATATTAATTTTTCTTATATATATATATATATATTTACAAATTCACTATGTATAATATAAATAATCAGTAAATCCTAATTTTCATATTACAGTATTTCCATGTATATACATATTATAATTAAAATATATGCAAATTTATTAAAATTCAAAAAAGATATAAATTTTTGCATAAAATTATATGATAAGGAGAAATGTTAAAAAAAAAAAAAAAAATTAAAATTAATACTACAATCAACCAAATCTATTATTTAAAAAAAAAATAATAATAAATAGTTTTTATGTTTTTATTATATAAGTATTCTGTTTCTTTAGAGATATAGTTCATAAGAATATGAAAAAAAAAAAAAAAACAATCAAACTTTTTTAACTTTGTTAAAAAAAATATATATGTGTTTACAGAGATGTATTTATTTGTCACTGTTGGATCAACTAAATTTGACGAATTAATTAAATTCATTGATAATGAAGAATTTCATTTTTTTTTGAAAAAAAAGGGATTTGCATATATGACTATACAAATAGGCAATGGTTCATATATACCTAAATTAATATATAAAAATAAAGAAGATAATAATTTGTTAAAAAAGGTAGATTATTTTACGTTTAAAAGTAGTTTGGATTATTTTTATGAAAAATGTGACTTAGTTTTAAGTCATGCAGGAGCAGGAACAACAATTGAATGCTTAAGAAAAAGAAAGAAAATTTTGATTGTCGTTAATACAAATTTAATGAATAATCATCAAATGGAATTTGCTGAATATATGTATTCTTGCAACTATTTAGAAATATGTAAAAATTTAAATACTTTAAAAGATAATATACACACATGTCTGAATAAAAAATATAAGATTTTCCCAAAACCAAATATTCAAAATTTTTTACAGGATATAAATAATTTAATGAATAAATAAATAGATGATATCCATTTATTTTTTAAAAGTTTTGATAGTAAATTAAAATGAAAAAAAACAGAAGTAATATTAATAATAATGAAATAAAAAATAAAAAAAAAAAAAAAACAGATGTCTTCATTACTGTATTATATTAAAAAAAAACAAAATTATATTAAATCAAATAATAGATAACATTATGATTAATAGCAATAAAAAAAAAAATAAAATAAAATAATGTTACTTGTAAAAATTAAATAATTAAAAAAGAAATAATTTAAACAAAACAAGTAAAAAATATTTTTTTAAAAAACATTAAAAAGAAAGGAAAAAGAGGTTAAAATTTCTGTGATATAAATAATAAACAATTTAAAATTTTATACAAAATAATTAAAAAAAAATGAAATATATAAATAAAAACAACTCAATACTAAAAGAAAATTATAATGTAAAAAAAAAAAAAAAAAAAATTGAAAAGAATAAAAAAAAAAAAAAAATAAATAATCTCTTTTAAAATCCAAATAAAATATATTTTTTTATATTTATATTCTTAAAAAATGGAATGTTTAATTATTTTACCTTAAGATTACTTTATAAGTTTTTATCTTCACATTTTTCACTACTTATTATTTACTTCTACTACCACGGAATTTTTCTTAATTTCCATTTTGATGTCAATATTTATAAATGATCCTTAACACTTCTTTATTGTTCCATATTATTCTTCATTATAACCACACTATTTTCCCTTTTCTTTTTATTTTTTTATTACTATACTTTAACTTGTCTTATTTTTCTTTATATCAACATTAATATTAATAAATATTCAATTTAACATAATTTTTCATGTTTCCCCTTACCTTTTTTTTTGTTACTATTTTTTACTATGTTCATTTACATATTTAAGAATATTGGCTATTAAATATTTATTTCGCTTTATTTTTTTCTTATCTTTCATTATTTTTTTCCTCATCTGTATATTCATATTTATAAGTATTTTTTTTTTCATTTTCTTTTTTTCCTGTGTCATCACCCTCTTCGTTAGCCATCTTTGATGCTTTAATAATGGCTGTTTCTAAAAGTTTAGTAGCATCAATATCATTAACCTCATTTATATTTTTTTTAATTTTTGACCATTTTTGCATTAATTTTCCCAAAATTTTCATACCTTCAGCTCTTTTTAATCTAGTTTCTAAATCCACTCCTTCATCTCGTATAACTTTATCAGCAGCCTGTCTAACAGTTGATTCTATATCCCACAAAACTAACGTCAATACATTTTTTATAATAATTCCTAATGCTTTATTTTCTTCTTTGTCTATTAAGGGAATATTATCATTACTGATATTATTATTACTATTATCAATGTTATTACCTTCACTGTTATTATGATCATTATTATTACTACTATTATTAAAGTTTTTGTGATTTTCTTTTTTTTCTTTAATCGAATTCATTTTTTCACTATTTAGTGAAAAGTCTTTTATAGTAACAACAGTGTTAATCATAGATTTTGCAGCACAAAAGGTATTTCCTATTGTTCTACTAGCTGCTTGAATATTTGCTACTGTTGCACCTACTCCCCATAAGGTTGTTACTTCTGCTATATAAGATGTAGAAACATTTTCATATGTCCATCCTATAGATTCTAAAATAGAACTAGAAAAAGATGAATCTAGTAATCCTTTAATTTCTTTTTCCATTTTTTCATTCCACATATTATCACCATCTACATAAGGTTGTAATCTTGTTCTTAATAAAAGGGCTAGTTCTACTTCTCTTTTTTTTTGTTCTACTTCCATTTCACTCATCATTACTTCATTTGATGATCGTACATCTTCAATAGACATATTTCCTTCAAATGCTAACTGAACAAAAAAAGCTATTCTTAATGTTCCTATGTAATCAGATAATTCTTCTGAGCTAAATAACATCATAAAAAAAATAGAAGGATCTATTAAAATCATATCTTTTGTTGCATTCAAACCATATTTATTATATTTCATTCTTCTTTCTTCATCACCTAGAACTTGATATGCTTCATTTATTTTTTGAAATTTCAGTTTTGCTTCAGGATCATTTGAATTTTTATCAGGATGATATTTTAAAGCTAATTTATAATAACTATTTTTAATTTCACTTAGTTTTGCATTTGGACTTATATTTAGTATATCATAATAGGTTGTATCAACACATATATTAGAAGTGTCAGAAGATGAAAATTCATTCGTGTGAGTATTATCAGCTCCTATTTTTATCATATTACTTTTTTTTGAAGTTTTTTTTGACAGTACTTCTTTTGCTTCCTTATCTAAATAATATCCCTTTTTGTAATCGTTATAAATATGTGTATCATAATTTGGTATCCAATTTGATATATTTAAGTTATTAAAAAAGTTGTTATCTTTATTTTTTTTATCTTCATATTTACTACTCTCAGTACCTTTGCTTATTTCATTTTTAGTACTATTGTTTTGTTTATCATCTTTATTTTTTTTTTCTTCTGGATTATACTTTTTAACACATTTTATTCTATTTCCATCTTTTTGAATTGAATCATTTTTTTTTATTTTTTCATTTTTATCATCACTAGAATTATTAAACCAATTTAAATATTCATTAAAAAAACCCCAACTTGACATTTTTTTAAAAGAAATATTTTTTTTATATTTACAAAAATATGCAAATATAAAATAAGTGAAATTAATTTTTTAAATATAAAAATATAAGTATATATATATATATATAAAGATATATATATATTTTTATATAGTTTTACATGTTAATCATTTAATGTTAACTATAATGTACTTTTTAATTAAATTCCTTTCATGTTTTCTTTTAAAAAAAATAAAATAAAAATATCAAATATTTATGTTAAAAGTTTGTATATATAACAAGTTATATATGTTTTATTACTTCATTAGAGTACATTTTTTTTAATTTAAATTTTATATTTTATTTTATATATTTATATATTACATATATGTAAATAAATTATGAAAATAATTTAATTTATATATTTTAAAAATAGAATAAAAGAAAAATTGAAATAATTATATACACATATATACATACATACATATATATATATAAAATTATATAACTCAAATTATTTATTTTACACTGTCATTATGTAAGTACAATTTTTTAAGAAATCAAATAATATACGTAAGAGAAGCTTAAAAAAAATAAGGAAATAAAAATTTAAAAAATATATGTGGAAAATAAAAAATTGGCAGAAAAAAAATGAATAAATAAAAATAAATATAAGAAAATGTAAAATTATAAATAATTGTAAAATTAATTAAACACACTTCTTTATTTATTGATATGTTAAAAAAAAAAAAATTTGTATTTGTTTAAATTTCATTAAAAATTCTAGCGTAACACAAAAAAAAAAAAAAAAAAAAAAAAAAAAAATAAAGTTAAAAAAATCTTAAAACTAATATTATAAATATATTATTTTAATCTTATACTTTTATTTATTTTTTATTTGATCGATTAAAAAAGAAAAAAAAAAAAAAAAAAATTAAAATATAAAATTATCCATTAGTTTACATAAATTATTTTCATTTTACATTTTTAAAAATTTGCATGTTTATATATGAAATATTTGTTTTCTTTTACATTTTTAATAATTATTTTAAAGATATTAAAACAAATGTGTGATAATTATAGTTTTAAAAATGTGCTATTAAGTTATAAAAAAATAATGTCTTATATATTTATATATTATTAGCTGATTGAAGTAAAATACAAGTTTTAGTGACATTTTTATGTTATAGAAAGATCTGAATTGAACGATAAAATATAGAAAGATAATGATTGAATATGTTATATATTTCATTTTTACAAATACTTATGGAAGAAAAAAAAAAAAAAAAAAAATACATAGTAAATGAATGAAAACGATAAAAATATAAGATTTTGCAAGTTAAAAGAGAAAAAAAAAAAAAAAACGTCTTAAGTAAATTTTTAATGTTTTATATGTTATAAATAAATGTTTTAATTTTTTTTTTGTTTTGAATTTTTAAAATTAAAAAATATAGAATCTTCTATAGTTTTCTCTTTTAACGAGCAACTGACAAACTTCTTGATTTTAACATTCTGTTTTTTATTTTAGTGGCTAGCGAATCAACTGTAATGTTATTTAAATTTTTATAATCATTATTTGATATGAAGCTCATTATATTTTTTTTTGTATCTTTTTTTTCTGAATATTTTTTATTATAATTTTCTGTATTCATCTTGTTATAATATGTAGATGATATAATGGGTTTATTCACTGAGTCATCTCTATTTACTTCTTGATTTGAAGTAATAAATTTTTTTTTATTTAAATTATTTAAAAGATCATCTTCATTTGATATATGCATATTTATATTACTTTCCGCTTTAGTAATTTTTTTGTTTGAAAAATTCTTAAAGTTGCTGTCTTGTTCATCTGGAAAAGTAGAAGCTGCTTTTGTGAAAATAACAACTTTATTATCGTTAAATTCCTTGACTTGATCAATTTTGGAATTTTTTTTTTTGTAATTCTGTGTAGCACAGGGGTTATTTGTACAATTTATCAACTCTTGAGTATAAAATTGATCAGAATTTTTTAATTGATTATTTGATTCATTTGCTAACATTTCCTCATAATTTTTTTTTTCATTAAAGGATAAATTGTTTTTTATATTGGGTATGCTTTTTTCTAATTTATTTTCATTTTCTTGGTAAAGTTCTGTTATATTTTTTTTTTTCACATTATAATTCATATAATTTGTGTGTATGCTTATGTCTTTTTTTGATGTGTTTTTTGAATTATATAAGTTGTATGAATTTGAAATATCGTTTGAATTCAACGAAATGTGTGAACTTTTTTCATGATTCTTCAGAATATTATCTTTTTCAATGTTTTCTGTATGTTCATGTTTTTTTCTCGGAAAAATATAATTGCCATTTTTTACTGCATTTTGATTTTTTCGTGGTTCATATATTTCTTCATCACATTTAAAAGAGGCTAAATTACAAAAATTTGAAGAGTTATAACTATTAACAGAATTCGCATTTAATGTATTAAAAAGGAATTCATTAATTTTTAAATAATTTTTATTTAGTATTTTTAATTTAGTGTGATAATTATTTGCCTCTTTTTTCCAATATTCACATTCACTTTTCAGTTTAGTATTATAATCTTTTAATTGCTCAATCATATTTTTTTTTTCTTCTTCTTTCGTTATTTGTTCATTTATAATATCATTTACAATATTTCTTAAAACAGTATATTTTTCATCATTTTTTTTTTTATTTAAATTATCTATTATATGACTTTTATCATCATTAACATAAATAAGATATAATGAAGAGTTATTATTATGGTTGCAATTATCTTTTATCTTTTTACCTTTCTCAATATTCGTATTATTTATATTATTTATATTATTTTTTATGTAATTAGAGTTTTTTCTGTTTTTTTCTTCATAAATTCCATTATATGTAACATCTTTCGAATCAATATTATTATTACTATTATAATCATCATTTGCTATTTTTTTAAAAAAATTCTCTTTATTTTCAGATTTTACATAAATCAGTTGTTTTCTTTTGCTTTTTATTTTTTTGCAATCACTCGCCATTATTAATGTTGAACTTGTTAACTGAACAATGCAAGTATATATATATATATATATATATATATATATATATAAATTTTATTTTGTAATTTTCTTTTATTTCTAATTAGAATAAATAAGTAAATAAAATTTAAAATTATTGTTTTAATATGTTATATATACAATTATCCATATTTTTATTACATTCTTTTGACTTAATTTAGGATTAAAACAAAAAATAAGGCAAACACCACATGTTTTCTGAATATAATTAAAAAGAACCTTACATAAAACACTTTGTCTTTTATCTGACTCATCTAAATTACCCATCTAAAAAAAGAATTTTTATGTAAATAAAAAAAATTTCTAATAGTTTAAAACTTTTATATTCATATATATGTAAATTATATACTTGCATTTTTCTCAACATCTTATTGAGAGAAGTGAGAGACGAATTTAACGTTTTACTAGAAGATTTTTCATTTTTATTTTCACTTTTATTTATGTTAAATCCTTCTCTTTCACATCCAACTAGATCAACCAAAGTTAAAACTCCATAATAATCTTTAATTGTTTCAACACCATTATTTAAAGTTGATTCAGAAATATTTACAAAAAATTGAATAATTGCATGAGATCTACTTGATCTAATAAAATAATAAATTTTTTTTAAAATTATTTTATCTTAAATTTTTATGTTTTTCTTTTTTTTTTTTTTTTCTTTGAACCTCATGTTTTGTGAAGTAGCCTCAACATTTCTTAAAAGACAAGCAGTGTCAATAATTTTTTTAGCCATTTCATAACTTTTGATATTAACAACTTTATAAGAATATTTAATAGTTTTAAGATAGTATTCTTCTGTATAAAATTCTATATTTTTTTCATTTAAATTTGATATAAGATCAATTAAGGTATCCCCTAATATTTCATATATGCTTAAATAAATTGTTTTTCTTTTAGTTGTTGTATTATGTAATTTATATAAATAGTGAACAAAATAGTATATTATACCATATTCTTTATTTGATCCAAATAAGGTATAAGTTTTTCCACTACCTGTTTGGCCATATGTAATTATAGTTTCTTTAAATCCATTACATACATTATTAATTATAAAATGACCACCAATTTTATTAAAAATAGTTTTATTATCATCATTTTCATCAAAAACTATATCAAAATTATATTTTTCTACTTCAAAATCTTTATCAAAATATAAAGCAGTTTTATCATTAGGATCTGTATGTAAAGTTGATTTTTCATTATTGTCTAATTTTCTAATTCTAACCACTACATTTTCTAGATTTTTTTCATTTTTTCTAATGTTTTCATTTTCTTTTAATTCGTTATTTAACTCATTTTCATTTTTTCTTTTTATTTCATTTTTTTTACCTAAAATATAAAGAAATATCAGATTTTAGTGCAAAATAAAAAAAAAGAAAAAAGGAAATTCTAATCAATAAAAAGTTATTTTATTAATTATAATATAGTTTATAACAAGCTTTAATTCTAGATAATTTTTTTTATGTAATTTAAATATGTTTATATACTAATAATTTATAGATTTTATCAAAATTTAGTTTTTAGTCAAATTTTTATCTAATTTTGATTTATATAAAAAAGAAAAGAATATAATTTTATATAATTAAAAGAACATTTTAAGAAAACGTATTTATTGAAATTATCTTAAAAAATAAGTATAAAAAATTAAATAGAATTTCGAAAATTTAAACTTTTTTTTTTTTTTTTTTTTTTCTAACTTAATGAATGTTTTGATAAAGCTACTGACTCACTGTAAGCTCTTTTATGCATTTCAAATAGAATAAAAAAAAAAGTTTATATTTTAAAAAAGCATATTTTAATATAAAACAAAATAATTTTATTCTTAGACATATATGTATTTTTACAAATTGTTAACATTCTTTTTCTATTTTTTTCTTTATAAATATTCTAAAAATATTTTTATCATAATGAATTTATATAAAATAAGATATTAATTCTCAGAAAAAAAATTACATTTTTTCTTAATGGAAATTTCACTAATTAATTTTTATTATCAACATCATTTATTATTTCTCATTTCATTATTATTATTTTTTTTTATTGATATAATTAATATTTTAATATATATAATATATATCTAGTTATTTTTTTAATATTTTTTGATATTTTTTTTTTTTTATTGTAGAAATATTTTTTTTAAAATATGTGCTTATTTGATTGTTAAATAATATAAATTAAAAATAGTTTATTATTTATTAAAAATTAACTTTGTTAAAATACTTTTAAAAAATAAACTTCATAAGATTTTTACCTTATTAAAAAATAAAAAAAAAATAAGTTTTTATGTATTTATTTTAATATAAAGTTTTTTTTAATTATGATAGTGTGTTTCAAAAAAATTTAAGGATAAAATATATTTTTTTTTTCATTCTTATTTAACATAATTTATCCAGAATATCACAGTTCTGCTTATTTATAAGCTCAAATTTTTTAATTATACATTTAAATAATAAATATATATTTAATTTTTAATTCTAACAAAAGTTTTATAGATTAATTAAATATCAATCATGTTTAAGTATCCTTCATAAAATTAACCATATATTAAATAAAATATAAATTAAAAAGAAAAAAACTATTTTCCTCAAAATAATGAAAATTTTCTTATTTTCTTCAGAATTTTTATTTTTAATATAAATTATAATACTTTTTTTTTTTTTTTTTTTTTTTTTTTTTAAATTTTTATCATATAATTTGAAATTTATTTGAAATGATTAAAATGTTTAAAAATATTTAGTAATTTTTATAATTAAATATTGCTAGTTGTTCATTAAGTGGTAATAGTAATAATTATTTATTATTTGAAATGAAAAATATTAATGATTTTACTAATGAATCTGATAATAACAAAGATTCTGAAAACGTGAAATTAGTAATAGAAAAGAACCAAGTAAACGGAAATAATGAATTAAAGAATAATAGGTTAAAAGATGATGAATTATTAGATAATGAAATAGAAAAAGGATTAAAAAATGATTTTAATGAAAATTCGAAAAATATCACTAATATAAATTTTTTTACGAATAAAGATTCATCTAAAATAGAATGTTCTAAAATGAATGAAAATGATGAAAGAATATATGAATATTCATCATATATAAAAAGTGAAAAATGTCAAAAAGAAGAAAACGATCAGGAAAAAAAAACTGAAATAAATAAAAAGTCATTCTTACAGGTAAGTGATAAAGATCGTTACGAGTTTTTGAAATATAGAAATTATTTTTTTATAGAAAATAAAAATCATCTGGATATATATTTTGAAGCAAAAAACGTGTTAAAAAATACAAATCCTTCTTTATTATATTTGTTAAAAAATATTTCTTTATTATCTCATGTTATTTATTTCCATGAAGTAAGAGAACAAAAATTATTGACATCTGCTGATATAGAGAATGTAACTAATATATTATATAAGAATGAAGACAATTATTCTGATAATTACACCGTTGTATATAACTGTTTAATATTTTTACTAGAAATAATTAAGTTAAGTTCTCATAATGGTGTTAAAAATTATGTATACTATCATCTTTTAAGAAATTTTAATAAAATTCAAATACTTTTTTTTGACGATTTTTGCTTTAAAAAAATAAAAAATAGAGAAAATTTTTATATAATTAGAAAAAATGAAGCAATATTTATTAATGATTATATTACATTAGACATTATAAAGATTTTGAATCAAGAAAATAAGTTAGTAAGAATTTATGGATTAAAATTATGCTTTATTTTTATTAAAAAAGTTAGCCAATGTAATTACATAATTAATCTTATTTTAAATATCATTTTTCAGGAGATGAACTTTGATGAATTTTATTATGCTTTTCATATTTTTATTGAATTACTTAATTTTTTAAGTCATGATGTTATATATCATATTGTTAAAAAATTTTATAATAGTTTAGTAAATAAGGATAAAAAAGGTATTAATTATTATTTAAAATACATAAAGGAAAAAGAATCATATAGAAATGTACCAAATGCACTTTTTCAAAAATCAGACGATGATGAATCTAATGACAAAAGACACAAAAATATTTACGAAAAAGGGGGTATTCATTATTTAGAAAAAAATAATAAAAATGAATATAATCAACTTGTTTATTCTTTGAATGAATATAACAATAACATAAATAAAATATATGATAATAATCAAAATAAACCAAGAAATATGACAAATAAACATGTTACAAATGAAAAAATAGATAAAAAAAATTTTTTTACAAAGAACCATATAAAAAGTAATAATAAAAATGTTAATACAGAAGATAATACAAAATACGAAGAAAAAAATTGGGAATATAAAAAAAAAAAACATTTGTTAAATATTTTAAGTAATCATTTTGTTTATTCTAAATGTATTTTTTTAAGTAAAATAGCTATTAAATTAAATAAATTTGTTCCATATTTAAGTTATTTTCTATTCAGAAAGATGTGGAATTTAATTAATAGTTTTTTTGAATTTGACTACTTACATGATGATGAAAATATAATTATAAATATCTTAGATAACTATTTTTATGGCACAACCGTATTAAGTTGCAAAAATGTATGTTTAACCAGTTTACAAATTATTATAATTAAACTTTTATTAAATATACCCCATACATACTTAATGAAAAAAAGAAATATATCCTATTTTGCTTTAAGAAGTTTATTATTTTTAATGAAAAAAAAAAAAATTTTTGTTTCCATTGATAATTTAGAATTAGCAAAAAAAAATATTGTTAACAATTATTTTTTTGTTAAATATTTTTCCTTTATATCTACTATTCAGTATTATGAGTTATTAAATTGGCTGAATTATTTGCAATTAAGTAATAATCCTTCCTTATTATTATTTATTAAGGTAGTATATAAATTTTTTAAAATTAAAAATGAGATTTATGGAGATTTTACAGAGAATAATAATACTTCACCAGAAGGTAGCAAAAATAATAAATATGATATAAATAAAAGTAATATAGATAACATTAAGAATGATTTTTTTAGTTTAAATGGGACATATTTTGATTCATTTATAAACAGTTTTTTAAGTATTTTGGAAAAACATAATTTAACTGATAAAGGATTTAATAATAATGAACAAAATGTGAGTAACGAAAAATTAAAATCGCCTAATTTCATAAAAAATGAAAACACTAATATAACAAAAAATGAAGATGAATTAGGGAGATTAAATAGCAAAGAAGAAAGGGATATTGACATAAAAAGAGAATATTCTTCTATTGATGAAAATGAAAATAATAGTTTAGATGAAAATCAAAAAGGAAACTTTAATTTTACCATAAGCATTAGTGATGAAGCTAATGAAAACGAACAGCAAGACGAATTAATTAATAATACAAGTGATAATGGGAGTAGAATAGAAAATATTGATTTTTTTTTTGAAAATTTCATTCATTTGGCAAAAGAAAAAGAAAAAAATAATGATATTAATATAAAAAATTTAAATATAACTTTGAATATAAAAAAAAAAAAGAACATAAATGATAGAGAAAATAAAAAAAGCTACCTAAGTATGTATACTAATAAAAAAAAAAAAAAAAAAAAAAAAAAATAAAATTTTTTAT